CCCCCCGGGTGTTTAACTCTTGGGTAAAGCCATTTAGTATTTGGTTACAGATTTTATTCTTTAAAAAAAAAATTAAAAAAAAATCACTTTTTTGTTTAGTTGGTAACAGAGAGAACTTTACACAGGTTGATGCTCTTTAAAGAAGAGAAAAATGTCTCTATGTCTCTCCAGCCAGTAGAAGCAGTTTCTCCATCATGGCCTGCATGGAGTATCTTCAACAATGACTATCCTTTTATTACCTGAGGTGGGGGAGAGGGTCACTGATTTTGGTCCTGCTAAACTAAATTGTCTGTTTAAGCTTCTCTAATACATATGTAATACAGGACCACTACACTCTATGCAGTTTAATCATCATTGCTGCAAACTTTTTATATCACCAGAGGGACCATCCTCTGGCACCAGGAATAGGAAAGATTACATGCTTTCACTTTGGAAAAAAATCAACCAAACAAGGTGCTAGAGCCGTGTTCTTATGAGCAGGCTAATATTCAAATCAGCTAAACACTTAACTATCACTTAGCTTAATTTTCTATACTGTACTGAAAGTTAAGCCAAGGCTACCATTTCCCCGTGAAGCAAATTACACATGAGCAGTGGTAGTGAATAGTACTACATTGACTAAACATGTGGAAAACATTTCATAGCTTTGAGTGTTCTAAAGAGTGTTTTTCAGCCCTGAACAATGTCCAGCATTTCATAAAATGGAGGAGAGTTGCAGTTAAAGTTTCAGTATTGTGCAGAATTTCACAGAAAACTCATCACTGGGCAAAATCAAGCTTTTATGTCTTTCAAGCAATGCACATCGGTTTTGACAAAATTTCTGTATACAGTCAGATCTGGAATGAAACATCTTATTTGTTGCCTAAATCTGTGAAAACTACCTTTTTGGAAAAAGAATTTATAAGTTATGTGGAACCACTTTTTATTATTCTGCTAATTTGGTTTTAGATGTAAAATGTTCTTCATTATAACTCAAAATGCATTAAAACATTCAACAATTTTTTTTTTTTGCAAGTTGCTGTTCTTCTGTGATGCATTAAGGTTGCTCTTAATCTTCATGTTTTGCTTTGTTGCTATTAATATTTCACTTTGTTAGTAGTCAGGGTATCTTCCTAGCCACTTTCCATTCCTTTCTGCTTAAAAAGATTGTTTCTAAGGTGTTGATGGGCACAGTTCTTCTGGAAGAAGGCCAAGTCTGTGCTGTACAGTAGGACTTCCTGGAGTGCAAATGGTCATGCAGCCAGTAAAGTGTATAGCCTGAAAAGGTGCTCAGACCTGCATTTATACTGTCCTCCAGTTTTGTGTGGAAAAAATTAGTAATTCCATTTTGTTATGCAGATTATGCAAAAGTCTTCATGTGGCTTTTCATTGTGGTCTATAAATTGATAGTTCGAATGAAATCTAAACCAGTTTTTATATGTTTAGAATACAGTGTAAGTATTGCAAAATTTTTCTGGTGGGGGAGCCCCACCATCAGTTTTTCTGTAAGTTTAAATAAAGGTTGCTGGCTTCTTGCACCCATATTCTTCAAAACAGAGCTTTGCAATGTTGCAATAAATCCCCAAAAAGCTCAGTGTCACATTAAGCCATGCCATCAGGTTTCGGATGCCTCACCGGAGTGCTGCCTAACCAGCACCTGAATGCAGAATGTTGCTTTATGCACACCATGTTTTCCTTCAATGTGCTTTAGGATCCCTTAGTGCCACATTTTGAATATTCGGAGCTAGGGCTCTGGAAAACTTCATGCCGCTGGCAGTATGGACCGGAAATAGAAGACCAAAGTTACAAGGTGGCACAGCTGATGTGAGGGCTTGGATTGAGAAGAACATCAAACACTGAGTTTTAGTTATTTTAACCGAGGGATTTAAGTCAAGTCAGAGCTTATTGCAACTGATTTAAACTTCTGATGCTTGTAACCTCCTTAAATCTTATAATGACCAAAGTTCTACACCCTTTACAAAGGCCATTTCTGTTTGTATTTTGGGGGGAGGGGATTTGAAGATGAGCATGTGTTGCATACTAGATTATTTTTTTAAAACCCGTGAGTAAATAGTGTGCACAAATATGTAGTTTCGGTAGGATATCTGTGTTCTGCTGTGAAGATGAGCTGCAGGAGAACCACTCTGTCATGCTCTTTAGACTGGTGTAGAAATTTTATTTAGTGCTCCACTGAGACCAAAATATGTCACTGAAAAATTATTCAGCCTTGTGATATTTTATTTTTAAGTAGTGTTGTTACCTTTTCTAATTCCCACAGGTCATAGTTTTCAGAGCATAAGTAATTTGCAGGAGCTTACAGGGGGAATCCCGTTTAATTTAGACTGTAAATCCTGGTCAGAAGGTACCAGTGACTGGAGAAGTGGGGGTTTTTGCAGGTGTGTTGTGGATGCTGCTTGTCAGTGTCCCCTGAGAATATTGGTACCAAGACGTGCCATTTCTCAGCAGTGAAAAGGTGAGGCTGGTGAGCATTTGCAGCATCTAACCCAAGTGCCTGCATTATCAGTTTAGGCACCTTGTATAATTCTTGTGAGTTTTTGAAGGGTGGCTCAGCGTGCCATGTGGAAGTTGGGATTTAAGCATTCAGACTTTCTGCTGGAAAATCAAAATGGTGCAAAGTGTCTGTGATAGCATGCAAAATAGAAGGGAGTTGAAAGAAAGTTACAGTTTGATCTATTTTGAAAATGGAAACAATTTTTTAGTCTGGCTGGCCCCTGCTACACAGTAGAATGACAGCACTGCTACTTAATGGTGTTGCCTGACGCTACTTGAGGCCCCGTTTCCACCTCTGATAACTGCTCAGTTCCACCAGCTTCCACCAAAACTTGCCATACTTGGTGTTTGCTTTGGAGTTTAATATTTTTTTGGTGGTTCCTCTCTCCCACTTGTATTTGTTATCTTTTCTCCTCTCCCCAGGGTAGAGCAGTTATGTGTTTATTTCAAAGCACAATGCCAGTGAAAAGAAATCCTTGTGCGCAGCAACATGGAACGAGAGCATCTAGCTTTTCTGTGCTGGAAGAAGAGGCTTGATGTTTGGAGCTGACTTTGATGTCAATGTGCTTTTAGTTATCTTAACGATTTTTTTTTTTAATTGGTCAGATGCAAATTTCTGATAATGAAGTTTCATGGAGGCTTTATACATTAATGGTTTGGGGTTACTGAAGGCTGAATCAAGTCTGTGCACCTTAACTGATGAGAGAAACTAGATTTGCAGTGGTGTTGTAGGTGACTTAGGGCATCAGAGAGGAGCAGACAATGATTTCAAATGCTATAGAAGAATTATGGACAAAGGATCCAGACTAAGGATAAGGAGCCTGGTGTATGCAGGAATGGTGACACAGCATTTGAGAAGGAAATAAGATCATATAAGAGACTTAGAGGCAAATCTGTGATAAAGTGTGTGGACTGCAGATGAGGAACAGGAAGAATAATGAAATGGAATGAAAAATTGGAATAAAAACGGGGCAGCTGAGGGAGCCAGGTAGCATGAGAGAGCAGAGTGGTAAGGAGGAGGTGCATGTCCAAAAGATGAAACTTGTTGGTCAACTGGGTATAAAGTGGCCTGGGAAGTCAGAGCCTTGTGGATGCCCCAGACTTGATGAGGAAAAGGGAAAGGAGAGATGAGAACAAGCGACAGCCTGCAGAGGGAGGAGCAGCAGGGACTGAGCTCACTGGGAAACGTGGATATCGGAATGTGCTTACGTCCTGAGCCTGCTATGGAAACAGCTGGAAGTTAAAGATCTCCTTTACATTTTTTTTAAAGAATAGGCTTGTTGATTTCAATGGCCTTGTTTGGGGTAAAACTTGCTTGCTTATATAGACCCAATTTTAATTGTATATATTGAATTCTCTATTTCAAGTGTTATGGTGCAGAGATCAATCAAGTGATGTATTCACTCCTAGGATTTGTAAAGTTAGTAGAGGATTACAAATGTTACATACAAACAAGCTCCATCCTACAAACTCCAGGTATGACAGCAGGGTGCATGGTTTATTAGGAGTCGCTCCTAGATTGGAAATCTCCGGAGTGAACAACTGATTTGGAAGAAGAAGATACTGTTTTACATGATCCTTTTGAGAATATGTGGCCAGCCTAGAAAAAGCTTAATCATGACTTGATCATGACTTCAGAGCAATATTCTCTAAATGCTTGACTTAATTCTGTTTAATTCAATTTAGGCTGAATTGACTAAAAAAATCTCTTTAAGCCAAAATAGAGGCATCAGAATGTATATATTACATCATGGACAAAGTGCTGGATTTTCAGTAGGGTCTTAGTTCTGGGAAAGGTGAAACTGGCCTTTCCTTAAAATTTTCACTTTTTCGAGATGTCAGAATTTGACACACTCCCTCACAAATCCAAGTAAGTAAAAAGATTATTTTTGGCTTCAGTAATCAAACTTTTGACTCCATCTGGCCTTGACTTTTGGTGAAAATACACACCTAAGAATACAGACGGTATCAGTCTTACGCAAAGGTGGCATTTTGTACCTTCATTCAGGCTGTTACCAGATGGAAAGGAGAACAACTGGCTAACTTCATCAAGTTAATGTTCTAAACTGACGTGGGTTTAACATTTAATACTTTTAATGAATATTTTTTCCTCAAAGTGCTTAATTTAGGTAAAGGCAGAAATCTGATTTTAATTTTCTTGTTACTTTATTAAACCTTATCTAAATCTTTACTATGTCGCCAACATCAGCCTTGTACAGATGCAGAACTGAACCTGAGTATTTTAGGAGAACAGTGGTGTGTTCTCTGAGGCTATAATTGCTAGGCATATAGGACAGTGAGTAATCTCAACCATAAGAGTAAAATCTGACACAGTACACAACAAACGCCAGTGAAATCAGGCTGATAGTGTGATAAAAACTTGAGTTACAGGATTAAAGTATCAGGGGAAAGGGAGAAATTAAGGGAAAAGCAAAACTTTTCAGCAGTTTAAGG